ACAGTGTTGGTCTATAGTTTTCTTGTGGTATCTTCAGTGTCAGGGCAATACTGGCCTCATAGAATGATTTAGAAAGTGTTTCCTCCACTTCTACTTTTTGGAAGAGTAGTATTTGTGTTAATTCTCCTTTAAATGTTTGGTAGAACTCATCAGTGAAGCCATCCAGTCCTAGACTTTTCTTTGGAGATTAAATAATTTAAATGTATTTATTTTTCTTTTGTAGTATACTGTTTTGATTCCTTTCTCATTTCCTTTTGTGTATATATTTAGATATTTTTTCAGTGGTTACCTTGAGGATCACAACTAACATCATAAACCTCCAACAGCTTACCCTGAATTGATACCAACTTAGCTTTAATATTATAGCATACAAATCTCTGATCCTATACAGCGTCACTCTTCCTTCCCATTTTATGTTTTCGTTGTCTCAGATTTTATCTTTATACATTGTGTACCCATTAACATAGTTTTATAATCATTATTTTACATGCATTTGTCTTTTAAATCATGTAGGAAATAAAAGGAGTTATAAACCAAAAATACATTAATATTGGTTTTAATATTTAGATGTGTGATGGACTTTACCAGAGATTTGATTTGGTTTTATGGCTTCAAGTTATTGTCTAGTGTTCTTTTATTTCCTCTAAGGATTCTCTTTAGCATTTCTTATAGGGAAGGTGTACTACTATCAAACTCCTCCAGCTTTTATTTACCTGGCAGTGTCTTAATTTCTCTTTCATTTCTGTAGTATAATTTTGCTGGATATATAATTCTTGGTTGGCAGTCTTAAGTTTTTGGGGGGGTTTTGCTTTTGTTTCTTTTAGCACTTTAAACGTGTCATTCCACTGCTTTCTGCCCTCCATGGTTTTTGCTGAAAAATCAGCTCATAATCTTATTGAGGATCCCATGGTCATAAGTCACTCTCCCTTGCTACTTTCAAGATTCTCTCTTTGTCTTTGCCTTTTAGCAGTTTGAATATAATGTTTCTCATTGTGGATCTATTTACATTTATCCTTAGAGTTTGTTGAACTTTTTGGATGTGTAGATTCATGTCTTTTACTAAGTTTGGGAAATTTGTGGCCATTATTTTCTTAAATATTCTTTTTGCTCTTTTCTCTCTTCTTTATCTGGGACTCCCATTGTGTATATTTTGGTCAACTTGATGGTGTCCCACGGGTCTCGTAGACTCTGCCCATTTCTGCTCCTCAGACTGTATAGTTTCACTTCCTATTTTCAAGTTGATTGCCTTTTTCTTCCTTGTGTTCACATATGCTGTTGAAATCCATTAGTGAATCTTCACTGTGTTTTTCAGCATCTGAATTTCTACTTGGTTCCTTTTTAAAGTTTCTGTCTCTGTTGATATTCTCTACTTGAATGGAATATTCTCTGTACTCTAACATTTGGCGACCATTGTTCTCAGCATTTAGTCTACCAGTTTTTGGCATAGGTACTGTAGTTATCCCCATTTAACTATGAGTTGATTGTTTTTAGTAAATATCTTAGTACTGAAGAACTGATTAAGAGCTCTGCTTATGACAGTGGAGCTTTTCAGCAACTGGGTTTTTTCTTCAATGTGATCGGGCAAAAATCAGTCATAATGGAAGACCCTGAAGTGCTTGATATATCAGAGACATCTTATGTTTTTTGGAGGTGAGTCTGTCGCCCAGGGTGGAGTGCAGTGGCGTGATCTCGGCTCATTGCAACCTCTGCCTCCCGGGTTGAAGCGATTCTCTGACCTCAGCCTCCCGAGTAGCTGGGACTACAGGTGCATGCCACCATGCCCAGCTAGTTTTTATCTTTTTAGTAGACACCGTGTTTCACCATATTGGTCAGGCTGGTCTTGAACTCCTGACCTCAGGTGATCCACCCACCTCAGCCTCCCAAAGTGCTGGGAGTGAGCCAGCGTGAGCCATTGCACCCGGCAGAGACATCTTTTTTTGTGTCCGGTCTGCACTGATGGTGCCTGATTGTCACTTTTCTTTCTCAAGATGTGGTTGGTTATGGTGATTTTAATTCATATTCACATTTCTAGAACCACTTTTCATTCTCACCAAACTTAGCTTCTCTGAGTTTAGAAATGTTCCATTTGTAATATGGAGCAGATTGGATCCTTTCTTGTCCTTATACTTTCCTTATGAACGTTGCTATAATAATCATGTTTGTACACAATTCCCATAGAATAGGTTCCTAAAATGAAATGTGAATCATAATATATGTGTAATTTTCATGTGAATAGCGTTTGAGACAAAGATATGATTTCCTGCTGGCTGGGATAATCTTGAAGGTCTTTACTAAAATGATAGATACAATTTAAGTAGATCTTAAAGGATAGAGAGGCTTTCTGTAATTAGGGAGGTGCTACGGGAATAGTTAAAAGAGAGAGAGAGAAGTAGTGTAAAGTTCATGGTAGGATACCCTTTTGTTTAAAAACAGGATGTTTATAAGAAGGACTAATGACAAAGTTTCCAGTATTTTAATATAAAATTCTAAAAATTATATAGAAAAGGCAAAAGCACCATACAGTGAGCACACACTCAGCACCAAGATTCTGTTGTTACTTTTTGCATCACTTGCATTACCATATTATTAATACGTCCATTTATTCATCATCCTTCTATCTTATTCATTTCATAGTAAAATAAATAGTAGATATCATTATGCTTCACCTATAAACCCTTCAGTATGCATTTCATTAGAGTTCTAATATTTGTGTACTTTTTCTTTTTTTTGTTGTTGTTTTTTTTTTTTTTTTGGAGACAGAGTCTCTCTCTGTCACCCAGGCTGGAGTGCGGTGGCACGATCTCAGCTCACTGCAAGCTCCGCCGCCTCCCGGGTTAATGCCATTCTCCTGCCTCAGCCTCCCTAGAAGCTGGGACTACAGGCACCTGCCATCACGCCCGGCTAATTTTTTTGTATTTTCAGTAGAGACGGGGTTTCACTGTGTTCGCCAGGATGGTCTCGATCTCCTGACCTCGTGATCCGCCCGCCTCGGCCTCCCAAAGTGCTGGGATTACAGGCGTGAGACACCGGGCCCGGCCTGTGTACTTTTTCTTTTACCTCCAAGCAGCATCAGGATATAATAAATTATTATCGTATGATTGAATGAGTTTTGACAAGGCATTCATTTGTGTAACCAAAACTCTTAAGATAGAGAACATTTCCATCATATCAGAAAATGCCCTTATGCCACTTTCCAGGCAGCCTTTTCCTTACCCTCCATCCAGCATTACTGTTTTGATATATTTTTTAAACCACAAAACCCACTTTTGCTATTAGTTTTCTTCAATTAACCCACCCAAATGAAGTACAATTTTTAGTTCTACTATTTGATTTTTAGTTAGATCTGGATCTCTGCATGTTTTTCATTTTAAGTAGTTGCCCTGAAGATTACATTTACGTTGTTACTTTTCACTATTTAGGACTAATACTGTACAATTTCATGTAAAATATAAGACCTTTGCACAAATGAAGTTTTCATTTGACCCCTCTACCACTTGTTTTGTATGTTGTAATTTTCATATCTTACATAAGTACATAGAAAATGGTAAGTCATTATTAAATGGGAGTAATTATAGTACCTATTCAACAAAATTGGAATACTAAATGCAGGAAACAGTGACAGCCAAATGTTAAGAGTATAGAAAATTTTAGCTCAACAAATAGAGAATATCAGTAAAGACATAGAAATTATAAAAATGAAACATTCAGGAACTGGAAAACAATAACTATATAATATAATATGTAAGCATATCATATATATCACAGTATTATAGATTTCCCTTTAATCGTGTGTGTATTTTAAAGATACTGAAAGGAAAATGTAGTCTTTTATATTTAACATTTTTAGTGCTCTTTTTTTCCCCTGAATATTGCCAGATAAAGTAGGCATTAGCACTCAATCCTCAGATGTATCTTTTCTGCAGTGGGTAGCATCAGAGGTCTCTGTTCAGTTCTTTTACCATACTTGGGTTGCTTGGAATCTTTCCTACATATACGTATTTCAGAGGTCAACTAGAGATTTGGGCAGAGTGAATACACAGAATTTAGGACTCTCCTTTGGTGCCTGCTTTCTGAGATTTCCTCCTTTCCTTTCTAGATCTGTGCTGTGCAATAGAACTTTCTGCCATTATGGAAATGTATAGTGTATACCATCCAGAATGGTAGCTATTTGCTTCATGTGGCTGTTGAGCACATGAAATGTGGCTAGTGCAGTTGAGAAATGGAATTTTTTATTTTAATCTACATTTGAGTAGTCACATTTGGCTAGTGGCAACTTTATTGAACAGACCATCCTTGCAGAAAGGTCTGTTAGCACTGTTCTTGATGCTGTGGTCATTGCAAACTCAGTCCCCATTTCTGTCTGGGGTTTAGCAGACCCGCAGAATCAGAACAGGGCCTTTTCTTAGGTACAAATGTATTATGAAGAAGGAAACTCAAGCAGTACTTTCCCTTTGTCCCTGCCAACTATGACTGATTTTGATTGCTCTCCAGAGCCTTCAAGTAATAGTTGTTTTGTGTACTTTTGACTAGAGTTTATAAATACATCTGTGTCTGATAGAACTACTGCACTATTTAAGAGAAGCAGAAACTCCACCTGTTAATCATTTAAATGGTGACCTAATTTTAAGGAATTCATATTTGGTGCTTTGTTATAATTCTCTTACCAATCACTAATTAAATATTTTTGGTTCTGAAATATTTAGCTGATATAGCCAGCTTCATCTCCCATTTCTTTAAGAAAAAACTAGTTACTTAATACTATCATTGTTTAGATGAAAAAGTATTTGGAAGACTTATTTTTCTGTGTCTCTTAATAGAATTTTTATTTTAAACTATCGTAGCCCCGCTTACTAAAAGTATTACTAACCTTTAATGTTACTGAATCTTAGTATTCTAAATTTGATATTCCCATCTCCAGTCATGTTAGAATTTAATGGAATTCTTCAAAGCAACAAACTCATATCGTTGATAACTTGTTTGGTATACTTTGCTTTTTCTAGGTATCTGAAAAGGTTTAAAGTGATGAAGATCAAAGTTCTAAGAAGCTGGTGCCGTCAGATCCTTAAAGGACTTCAGTTTCTTCATACTCGAACTCCACCTATTATTCACCGCGATCTTAAATGTGACAACATCTTTATCACGGGCCCTACCGGCTCCGTCAAGATTGGAGACCTTGGTCTGGCAACCCTGAAGCGGGCTTCCTTTGCCAAGAGTGTGATAGGTATGTTTCAGGTGTACCTTGGAGCCTGACTGGCTTTCTGACATTCCTTTTATTTAGAATCCTGGCCCTGTCAAGAGTTTTAAGTGATATAAACCTTAAGAGATTCATAGCTTGAACTCAGGAGGTGATCCGTTCTACTTACGAGATGTAGGATTCTCTACATTTGTGCTTCTTGGAATCATCTTAGAGGCTGTTGATAACATTACATTACAAGGAATAAAGTGAACTTTGTTGATAAAACCTAATGTAACAGTCTTTTTTTGTTGTTGTTGTTGAGATGGAGTCTCTCTGTGTCACCCAGGCTGGAGTGCAGTGGTGCGATCTCAGTTCATTGCAACCTCCACCCACCGGGTTCAAGCGATTCTTGTGCCTCAGCCTCCCGAGTAGCTGGGATTACAGGCATGCATCACCATGCCTGGCTAATTTTTGTGTTTTTAGTAGAAATGGGGTTTCACCATGTTGGCCAGGCTGGTCTTGAACTCCTGGCCTCAAGTGATCCACCAGCCTCAGCCTCAAGTGCTGGGATTACAGGCGTGAGCCACCTTGCCCAGCCAGCCATCTTTTCGTTACACACTGTTGATACTTAATATTATGCATTATTTATGTAATACATACAGTATGTCACTTAATGAAAGAAATGGAATTTATATTTAGTTTTACTTCCTAAAATTAAAAGATAAAAATTAAATTTTTAGACATATAAAATGTCTGTTGGGTATATATGTATATTCAAGAATATTGGCCAAGCACAGTGGCTCATACCTGTAATCCCAGCACTTTAGGAGGCTGAGGTGGGAGGATCACTTGAGGTCAGGAGTTTGAGACCAGTCTGGCCAACATGGAAAAACTCTATCTCTATTAAAAATACAAAAAAAAAAAAATTAGCCGGGTGTGGTGGCGGGTGCCTGTAGTCCCAGCTACTTGGGAGACTGAGGCAGGAGAATCGCTTGAATCCAGGAAGTGGAGGTTGCACTGAGCTGTGATTGCACCACTACACTCCAGCCTGGGCAACAGAGCAAGACTCCGTCTCCAAAAAAAAAAAAAAAAAAAAAAGGAATATCTAGCCTCCTAACATTTTGTGAAAATAAATATGACAATTCATTCTGAAAAGTTGGTTTTATCAACTTTTTTCTTAGTCTGACTCTTCAGAAGTTATGATCTATCTAAAAGAGTATTTCTCAACCTCAGTACTACTGAGATTTGGGGTTGGACAATTCTTTCTTATAAGGGGCTGTCTTGTACATTGTAAGACTCGAGCAGCATTCCCAGCCTCTACCCACTAGATACCAGTAGCACGCTCCCTGTCTGTCTTCTAGTTGTTATGACCAAAAGTGTGTCCAGACATTACTATATATGACTCCTAGAAGACAAAATTGCCACCTGTTGAGAATCACTTATCTAAAGAACAAGGCTGTCCCTTTCAGACTTTATATGTTAGAAACTCAAAGCTGGAAAAATAATTTAATGCCTATTTTGATAAACTTTCACTCTATGAAGAGGGTATCACAATTTAAAAACTTGAAGTCTTCATAAACACTCTATTTACTCCCTCCAAAAGGTGACAATAACAAAAGAAACCCATTAATTTTTAAGCGAACTTGGATCCTAAGTATTACTAGGAAAAGCACAGAACACCAGTTATTTGTACATCTTTCAAAAACAGTGTTCTCCTTGGAATATTATGTAACTTCGGTTAGGAACACTTTCACCTTTTCTTATAATACATTCACAAGACGAATGGGAACCGTGTCATTTAAAGCTGAATTTCTTTTTTTGCCTTCTTCACAGGAAACATTTCTTTGATTATCTTTGGCATCCTGAAATCCCTGACCCAATAGAGTTTTTATTTTCTTTGTTCATTAAATCATAGTGTGCATGTCTGTTTCTTGGAATGCCTTATAATTTGAGGTATGCAGACCTAATTTTCTGGAAGCATTATAAAACCTAGTCTTGTGAGATCACACGCTGCTCATAAATCAGTCTGTATTTGGGTTCTATATTTGTGTGTGTATTTGTCTTTTTGCCTGTAGGATGTCCCTCACTGTATTTCTTGTGTCTGTAGTAGGCTTATTTGCGCACTACAGGTGCGACGGTAAGTATGTGAAGAAAAGGGCTCTGGTGAGTGGCCTTTGGAGACAATTACGCTTTATTTCATTTTTTAAAAAATGTATTGAATATCGGATTTTTCACTGCAAGGCCTTCTTAAAAAGTGAAACTAATCAGATTGAGTGTTAATGCCAAGAATGTAGCTGTAAATGTTAACCTACAACTACCATACATTAGTGGACACACAAGTATTTTGATCTTTTTAAACCCATCATCTTATCTTATAGATGTGCCATTATATCTGTTTTGTTCCTTGCATAGTGTCTTTCCTTTTCCTTCTATTTGTTTTCAATATGAATTATATTAGTTTATCTCTTAGCCAAGGCTTTATTTTCACATATTGTTTAGAGAAATTCATTTTACACAGTAAATCAATAAATAGATCCTTGACCTTATTCCAGTTTCATATAAAGGCCTTGCAGTGGAAGATCTTTTACGAGATATTTGGTGGAACAGACTGACTGAGAAGATTTCCTTCCTCTTTTTCCCCCCTTTCCTTTTTTCTCCCCATTCCAATTTCTTCTCTCTCACAGGTCAACCCCTCTGCTTCTCTCCCCGGTGAGTAACGTCTGAAGCTTCTGCTCGCATTGAGTCTGAATCGTTCTTTTAATTTAAGGTACCCCAGAGTTCATGGCCCCTGAGATGTATGAGGAGAAATATGATGAATCCGTTGACGTTTATGCTTTTGGGATGTGCATGCTTGAGATGGCTACATCTGAATATCCTTACTCGGAGTGCCAGAATGCTGCGCAGATCTACCGTCGCGTGACCAGTGTAAGTCTTCCCCTAACTGATTGTTGAACTTGGGTTATATCTAACAAAGAATCCCAAGGTGGATGACATCAAACCATGTAAAAGAGGACAATAGTGGAAGGCATACTGAGTGAACTGTTGGAGTGGGGGTGGTGGTGTTGAGGTATGTGTAAGGCTATTGCTCATGATACAGTGAAAGATAAAGATCAAAGAACCACTAGTTTATCCTGTACCCACCTTGCATTCATTTAAATCTTTATGATGTTTAGAAACACATCCTCATTGCCTACTTTTTAACCCCCTATTAATTCAGCTAAACTCCCATTTTCTCCTACCACATAGGTCAGAGTTAAAAGTAATGTTTTTAATTCAAGATGCTTTGTCAAATTAATTTGTTCACTGACTTTTCTCTGAATGACTTGATATGATTTATTAAATCTTATATATTAGTACCTACAATATTTAAGGCATGAATAAATACCTTTTTGTAGTTTAAATTACCCATGGTAGTTCATGTCTGCTGACAGATATTTTCTACAGCTGTCTTAATTGAAACCTGAAAGGTAGTTGTTATGATTCACTTCACTTTATCACTACATACTTCATTATGCTACTCTAAAATACATTTTCTTACATAACCATATTATGCCTGAAAAAATTAACAATCATTTCTGTATCATCCAACACCCTGAACCTGTTCAGATATTCTCTCCATTGTTTCAAAAATGTCCGTTGACAGTGTTCAAAATAGGCTCCATCAGGGTCTACAAAATGTATTTTATTGTTGTAGTTCTTAATCTAGAACTATTGCTTTTACTTTCATTTTCTGCATGCCAGAGATTTATTGAAAAACTTGGATTATTTTGAGGAATGTTCCACATTCTGAATTTTCCTTGTAGTGTCATTTAACTGGTTTATTCTTCTACATTTCTGTAAAGGGAAGTTTACCTTAAAATAGTTGGGGTAGGTTAACAATGTAAAAATAATTTTGTCTTTTTTACTCGCATTCACCCCAGAGTGTACGTTGTCGTTTTCCAGAGGCTATATGATACTGCACATATGATACTGCAGCAGAGTACATGCAGAAGCAGATATAAGAATTCATTTGTAAGGCCGGGCGCGGTGGCTCATGCCTGTAATCTCAGCACTTCGGGAGGCCGAGGCGGGTGGATCACTTGAGGTCAGGACTATGAGACTACACTGGCCAACGTGGTAAAACCCCATCTCTACTAAAAATTCAAAAATTAGCCAGGTGTTGGCGGTGCGCCCATGTAATCCCAGCTACTCTAGAGGCTGAGGCCCGAGAATCTCTGGAACCCAGGAGGT